TTAGTATATTACTTGTGTGATGTAAGAATGTTAACACTGTTAAAATCTTTTTTTAGTATAATATGTGTGTGGGTAGAAGTGAATCATTTACTGCTTGCAAACCAATGATGGTAAGATGATGTCATGGGGTAGGACTGGATAAGTCTGACTTCTTCCTACTCCATTCAAGCATGTATTAGATATATGCAAATTGATATTGGATTATGTGTAAAATTATGTGTGTTGTCATATAAACTGTTTTTACATGCTTGAAATAATAAATCAAATCAAATCAAATGACGAGATGACTTCCTGCACCATGTCTGTGTTTCAGTTTCACTTTGAGTGGAGTGACAGGCACTCAGTGCGGGCAAGTGGCCGCCAGGTCGTACCTACTGGACAGGACACAGGATTAACACGGGCAGTTTCAGAAGACTCACAGCGTGTCTTCTTCCAGTCTGTTTTTTTTCCTCTCAATCATTTCTGACAGGCAATGACTTTGGGATGAGGATTTTGTGTTAGGATTGCTCACTTGCAGAGACAAAGTGAGCAGACAGGCTGGACTCAGGAGTCAGACTCATAGTTCAAGGCAAGTGGTTTATTTAGAACAGCAGGTGATAATTTATAGTCCAGAATCTTGGGGCTGGTGAGATGCAATGATTGGGGAATCGTCAGTACACGGGAGGAGTAGATTAACCGGCGGTTCAAAGCAAGGAGAGGAGGTGAGTGTGGCAGGCTGAAGTCTCAGGTCTTGACAGCAGGATGGGCAAGAGAGGCATAGTGTAGCTTGGATGTAGCAGTAGCTTCGATGTAGCGGTCTGAGGCAGCAGGTTCTAACAGGGAGGACAGGAAAGAATGAGTGAAGCCAAAGGGTGGCAGCCTGACTGACCTGAGGAGGATGACGCCAGTCCAAGGAGACGAGGATGAGGTAACCGGTAGATGGAGGAGACCCAAAGATACGTGGTGTCAGAGGTCTTGTAGTAGCTGAAAGGTTTCAATAATAAGAGCCAAAGTGTTGTGGCAGTAGTCTGCAATGTACTTGGCACTGGAGAAGCCTCTGTCTGAGTCTTAAGTAGGATGTGGCTGATAGGTAAGCGGTCTCAGCTTTGTAAGTCAGCACAGGTGTGTGCCACGCCCAAGAAAGATTGCCTGCAGAAAGGAGAGAGAGAGAGGGAGAGAGGCAGGTGGAGCAGAGCAGAGCAAACCTGACCTTTTGTTGCTCCTGGAACAATCTAAAATTGTAATTCCTTCAGCTTTAAAGGGGAACTCCACTTCTTTTCACTTATTTTAAGGTTAGATTCAGTTTGCTAGCCACTGGGAGAACCACTCTGTCATATAGTTAGAAAGATGTGGACGGATCTAAGGTCATCTGGAGATGAAGTTTTATTGTTTGTTATGTATTTCCTGGGGGCATTGTTTTATTCTACTCATTTTAGGAATTTTTAGAAATGATTTATTTTTAATAATGATGTTTTCAATTCTAGTATCTTGAGGGAGTGTTGTGGTAATAAAGTACTGAAACTTAAAACTTGATATCTAGGGCTGGTGATACGACGACACGATACAGGGGTAACGATGCGACATATTGCGATGCTGTAAACAAGGCAATATACTGCAATATTTTTTTTAATCATAAAAGTCATAAAATAAGCGGCACACCACCATATGCATAGAGTGTCCTGTAACAAAGCTGACTTTTTATGCAATCAGAACGGTAACATCCAACATCATAGCACTGCTTGGCATGTGAACTGTTAATTAAAAATTGACCAGTGTTTTTGAGAGTCAATACAGTATTGTAGAATATAAAATAGAGATACTGAAGTGTACCGATGTTTTCTTACCCCCTGTTGATATCTGCCTTTGAGGCCCTGTTTCAGCGAATTTGATCTGAGTGTGAATCAGCTGTTGTTGCTCTCTTGTCATGATTTGTAATAAACAGTCTCCCATTTTGACTCTGTCTGTGCTTGCTTCATGCAGGGTGCTATGCCAGTGTGTATGTGTAGTGTGTCTCCACTGCTGCAGTGTTTTCTGTGTTGAAGTTGACACAGCTGGCAGGCAGGATGTCAGCTTCAGGCCTTGGTCTCTGTTTGTAATTCTCCCTGTAGAGAGCAGCCTTCCTTTGCTATAAATAGCATCTGCATGTGCGTGCCCCACCTCTCCCGTGTGCTAAGAGAGGTCCTTCCACCCAGCATTTTCATTTATGTGTCTTTTATCTTTTCCATGTCCACCGTTCCCTGTCTTGCTGTATTTGCTCTGTATGTCCAGTGCATGTGTGTGTGTGTGTGTGTGTTAGTTGAAGATGGTTGTGAATTATGAGCGTGTGTACTGTGCCGCACATGGAGAAGTGGTTTCATTTGATGCAACACATACACACACACATGTATCGAAGACAGGAAGCCCTTAATTCTTTCTTTTTCTTCCCACCATTCTTTAAGCTTATATAAAAATGTCCAGTCTGGTTTCACTCTCCCATCTGTTCTATCTTATTGTCAGTGGTGGAAAAAATACTCAGACCCTTTATTTAAGTAAAAGTAGCAATACCTCAGTGTAAAAAAACTCTGTTACAAGTGAAAGTCCTGCATTCAATATATTACTTATGTAAAAGTACTGAAGCATTAGCATCAAAATATACTTGAAGTACTAAAAGGAAAGTGCTTTCATTATGCAGAATGGCATACTTACCATTAATGTATAATATTATTGGACTGTAATTATTGATGCATTATTTTGTGCATCACATTTAATGTTGCAGCTGTGAATTTTCCACCACAGATAAATGAAGTCATATGATTATGCCGTATTTTCTCTATTAATTTGACTTTGAAAAGAAACTAGTAACTAAAGTTATAAAATAAATGTAGTAAATTAAAAAGTACGACATTTGTCTCTAAAATGTGGTGAAGTGGAAATGTGAAGTAGCACAAAATAAAAAGTAAAGTACAGATACTTCAGATTTGTGTTTAACTAAAGCACTTGAATAAATGTACTTAGTTACTTTCCACCATTGTCTATTATTCCCATCTGCCTCTCCATGGTATACAGCATCTTTCTCACCCTCCTCCTCATAATGCATTGCTTTCAGAAAACAATTATTGTGGTGTGTAGAACATTAATCATTAAGTGAGAATATTATGATGTACGGTGGCGCGGTGGTTAGCGCTGTTTCCTCACAGTAATTAGGTTCTGGGTTCGAGCCCCAGCCAGCCTGGGGCCTTTCTGTGCGGAGTTTGCATGTTCTCCCTGTGCTTGCGTGGGTTCTCTCCAGGTGCTCCGGCTTCCTCCCAAAGACATTCAGCATAGGTTGCTTGGTGTCTCTAAATTGCCCGTAGGAGTGCGTGCATGTGAGTGGTTGTTCATCTGTGTGTTGGCCCTGCGATGGACTGGCGACCTGTCCAGGGTGTGCCCCGCCTTTCGCCTGCAGCTGGCTGGGATTGGCTCCGTGACCCCGTTTGGGACAAAGCGGTTTAGAAAATGGATATTATGATGTGATTCTCTTCTAAGTTTGTCCAGATTGCATGCTGGGAGATATATTTACGTTTAGTCCTCTCAGTTCAACAGATGTGGAGGCAGCAGAAGCCGTCAATAGAATGTCCTCTTTCCTTCCTCCTTTCTCTCCTTCTACATCTGCTGTTCTTTTCTCTCTCAAGTGTGAGTGATGTGTGTTTATAGCTCTTCAGCGAAATGTGGGGTGGCCTGTGTGCCTGCAATGGGTTTGCTTTGTTCTCCACGCTTTGGCCTATTCCTTGTCTCCAATGTAAAAAAAAAAATTATCGGTGTTCATATTCACACACACACACACACATAGAAAGTACACAGGTTTTATCTTGACAGTTTCCTGTAGATAAATACAAGAGGGTGTTCTGCATCATAGAGCCAGATGCAGTGTGTGTGTTTGTGTGTAAGAAAGTTTGACGCTTTGTATAATTTTCTGATGGAACCTTTCACTGATATATGAGCTCCCATAAAACTGTTATTTATTTTGATTGTTTTTCCCCCCTACAGACGAGTATAAAGGAGGGATTGCTGCTGAAACAGACTAGCTCGTTCCAGAGGTGGAAAAAGCGCTACTTCAAACTGAGAGGCCGAACTCTCTACTACGCCAAAGACGCCAAGGTAGGCTTACTCAGCAAGTGAGCAGGTTACATTCACTTGAGTCTTCTGTCCATAAATTGACTTAATATAGATGGAAGAACTCACGCTGCCAAATTGTTCTTAGTGTTGATCTTCAGTTTCTGTCCTCTAATCCCACAGATGCCTTTAGTGTCTGGAAACAAAGCCTCTGAGGTTCAGAGACAAGCAGACAATCCCAAAGGAATAGTTCTACATTTTGCCAAGAGTCAGATAATAGGATTAATAGCACTCTCATGGTCACCTGGTTAACTTAGCTTAGCATAAAGTCTGGGATCAGGGGGAAGCAGCTAGGTTGGCTCTGTCCGGGGTCAAAATCTCTTATCTGTACAAAATTCAAAGCAGAACAACAGCAATTTGCTTTTCTACAGAAGGATGATATGCTGGACTAACTCACCTGGTGCTGCTAGGCAGATTTGGTTACCTTGGTTACCAGGACCAGGCTAGCTTTTTCCTGCTGGTTCCAGTCTCTATGCTAAGCTAAGCTAACCAGCTGCTGCTGAGTTTAGCTTCATATTTTTTCACGCTTGATCTAATCCATCTGTTGCACACTGGGTCACTCTTACAGCCTGATATTTTCTTATACTGATCATTTCCTGATGCTGTTTCATTTCATCATTAATTTCCTTAATCACAATAATTAATTTTGTTCTTTCCAACTGTACCTGAGTTTCATGTCCACGTTTTGAACTTTTTACTCTTGTTGACATCTCTTTCCCCTTTACTTTTAACCTGTGTGTGTGTGCCTGTGTGGATGCATTTGCACTAGTCCGGCAGTGCCTTGGCACGCTGGCAGGAGCGGGCGCTGCGCAGAGTGTCTAGGAGTCGCGTGTGCTGGCGGGTTCTGTCTGTGTGCTGGACGGGTGCACAACGCCCCCCCCCACCTCTGGGTGCCAGTGGATCTGAGGAAGGCCTAGTGAGAATCCGGGTCAGCACAGCACAGCCAGGGTCCAGACCACCACAATAGCTTAACCATTCCCTATTTACCCTCTCACCTGTACATGATAGTGCTGCATTCATGCCATATGGCCATGCTGTGTCAAGACAGGGTTAGTGTCTTAACATGTAAAAAAGACTTAAACTTATTTAGGGTTGTAAGTTTTTACAAAACACCAAAGATAAAGACAAAATAATATGACGCAAAGTGTTATCAAACTGTGGGGAAACCTTTTTGTAGAGGAACTGACATAAAATTAGGCACTTTGAAAAAAATCGCATGCTTCCCACTGACAACTCAGTTGCAAGTCCAGAACGTTTTATTACCATATTACATGAATGCACTGTAAAGCAAAACATGTGTCAGGCCACACCTGGATCAGTTTATCCTTCAGTGAGGGCTGTGGCTCTCACTGTTTTACACTGTGCTGCTTGTCCTTCCCTGCACCGTAGTCTCTTGATGGCCATGCCAGGAGAATGAAAAAATAAAATAAAGTCTTTCTGTTATGGCCAGACAGTGACACTAGCCTTTATAGATAAGTGCCCATTCACATGCCCATCCAATCTGGTTGTCCAAAGTGGCTTGGCTAGCTGTGCTGCCCTGTACTTAAGAAGCCTGACCTCCTCATGGATCCATCAAGGAGGCTACATCTCAGCGCTGCGGTTTGTCCTTGGAGCTGCTCTGTTCTCCTTCCTGATTTGAAGACACAAAGCAGCCAGAGTTAAAGATAACCAAGGCAGGAGAAACAGTAAAAGCACATGTAATCACCACATGGCCCAGTATAAAATAAAGGCTAGGAGAGAGACACCAGAGGAGGTCGCTGAGATGCAGCCGCTGAGCTAAGCTCTGGATCTATGGGTAACTGAAGGTCTGGACTCTTGTCCTCCATTCACTGTCAGCTTTCATTACAGCTTCCCTCAAGACAGCTGAGTGTTCATGCCCACACATATACAAGTCTTTGTGTGTGTGTGTGTGTGTGTGTGTGTGTGTGTGTGTGTGTGTGTGTGTGTGTGTGTATGTGTGTGTGTGTGTGTGTGTGTGTCCATAGAATTGTGGAAATATGGTGGAAAGGTATAAGATGTGAAATGCTTGTGTTGGCTGCCATTCATATTTAGGCCCTCATGGCCGACACTTCTTGCACACATTCACATGTATTTGTAGGCATATGTGAAAGTGCTAAGATACATGCTCATGCTGCACACACACACACAAACACACACATAAAGTAAGCCCTGGCTGGTGTTCCTCTCCAGCCAGGCCTAGGGAGAAGGTTATTAACTGGGCATTCCCTCTGACAGCTGCAGCCGCTCACTCCTCCCACACACACAGTCATCGGGCATTCCTTTGACGGCAACTGGTTTTTGGCCTGTGGCCCTTTAGGAGCTCAGCTACATGCCTTACACATCACAGTGCTGTTAGGATATCATGTTCCTGTTTGTAGACTCTCCACTCTGTCTGTCCACTGGCTCCAGCTCCTCCGCTACATAGAGGTTCAGTAAAACATATCAACATTCACTATCATGTTGTTCGCACTCTTCTCAGGAATGGAGTGGAACAAAGGAAACACTAGAGCCTCACTCCAGTAGGTTCACTCGTGCTGTGGTGAAGTGCACTTCCGTGCAGATGGAAGAACCGCGTTATCTTCTAGAGGTCCAGGCAAACAGGACTTGTTGTTCTGGACCAGTCAGTCAGCTTTTCCTCAACATTTTATTAACCCCTTCGGATCCATCCACTGTAACACAAATCAACTTGACTTCAGCCAGTGAAAATGTTTTTACTTCTACCCGATAACCAGATCGACTCAACCAGCCAGTTACTGTCAAAATGTGACAGACAACAGAATGATACCTAAAATGCTAAATTCACCATTTTCTCAATGTGGAGAACAAAGCGTTTATCAAAGATCCGCCTCCAACTAATCCACTCAGATTTTTTTCTGGGTGTAAAAGGAAATGTCAGTGTGATTCTCAAGCTGGAGCACTGTGTTTTGTGTCAGCTGAGCTGTTTGGTCTAATAGCAGACACAGTCAACATGTATACATGTTCTGCAGGTTTCAGTCTGTTTAGGCATTGTCAGAACCATTAAAATAAAATGAAAGCAGGGGCTATTTTAATGGAAGGACTTATTTACCAAGTGGTCTACCAAGCTCTGACTTGATATGCACAAACAGCAAAAGCTGAGAATGTTCATCTGCTGTTTCCTTTATTTTCACTAAACCCTGCAACTCAAGCTTCTCTTTACACTGTCTCATTTCAGTAAACTACAGAAGATTGATTGTTCTCATTTAGTGCCATTTCTCAGCCTTGCAGACACAGATAGATCATGAAACAATCTGACCCTCGGCACAGATCTCTCCTATATAAGAGCAAGACCCCCAGAATGAAAGAGACATAAACAGCATGTTGGTTTTGTGTGTCTTTGCAGTTGTTTTGTCTTTTTGTACTATAGTTTTGTGATTTATAGTTATGTCTGTACTTCTTCTGTGTTTCTTTGTAGTAGCTTTGTGTCTCTTTGCAGCTCTTCTCTGTCTCTCTGTGATAATTTTGTAGCTTGATTATCAATTTTGGGGTCCTTTGTGTCTCCTTGAGGTTGTTTTGCATGTCTTTACTGCCTATTTCTGTGCCTTTGCAGTCTTCTTGTGCTGCTTTGTGGTCCTCACTTTGTAGTTATTTTGCAACTCTTTATAGTTGTTTGACTTTCCAACAAGAAACATTAACAGCCCCTCCAAACAGAGGCTCTGGCCCAGGGCCCCCTGACCCCTTTGGTCCCCTGTGCCTGTACCTGGTTCAGTAATCCATCCATGCTTGAGGAGTATTTGTAAGTCTTGTATTATCAGAATATTGCAGCGTCTCATAATGGACCAGAAATATAGAACAGGAATGAGTATAACATGCATTTTATTATCAGTGAGTGTGTTTTCATGTCTTTTGTGACTCTCGCTGTAGCTTCCATTTTATACTGAGAAGCTTCACCTGTTCATTTTAGGCCTGCTTTGCTGTGGCCAAGACATTGCTGTCACAGCCAGTCACCATTCCCTTCACATCCTAGTGCACAAGTAGAAATAAGTGAAGTTGTTGAAAATAATGATCAAATGCTTATTCCCTCTGTCTCTCTGTTCTCCTCCCGGGCCACCCCTCCTTTCTCACACCCCGTCCTCTCTGCAGTCCCTTATCTTTGACGAGGTGGACCTATCAGATGCCAGTGTTGCAGAGTCCAGCACAAAGAATGTCAACAACAGCTTCACGGTGAGTGCATCTTGCAGTCTCAGCACCCTCTAACACACAGGCATTGTGTCACTGGGAAGTGTAGAGCCACACTAACATGGTGTCTAGATTTCTGACCATTCAAATCCAGATTTGGGTCATCATGAAGATGTGAGTTTCTTTCCTCAATCATTGGGTCTTGTTTCTGTCTGTGTTAATAATTAAATTACAGCAAAAATAATTACCAGTAAATAATGTTATTATTGAATATAATATTGGTGGTAAAGGTCACGTGGTTGTTCCCACTATCTGTTAGAGTAGCTTCTAGAATTAGGGCTAAAATGTTGTTGGGTATGGCGACTATTGCTTCATTGATCAGAACCAAACCTGGCTCAGGCCTGAGATACCAGTGAAAAGTCTGACGTTGTTTGAGTGTCTCTCTTTTTTGTGACACTAAAAATTTTACTCCCCCCTGTGGATGAGTGGATTGAGTTTCTCTGCAGCTTGTATGCTTTGGGAACTGAAACTGACTGAGTAAAGAGTCCTATTCATAGCGCTAAGCAAAGTCCCGGGGATGACTAAAGGTATAACCAAGCTTTATGAAATGTCATAATTTTTCCTATTGAGTCCCATTAATTGTACAGTGACACCAGGTTCTTGTGATTTTAATGAGTATTAGAATGATTTCAGTCATAATGGACAGCACTCACTAGAGATCCATCAAGGTTTGCAAAAAAAAAACAGGATGTACCCTTCAGGGGTATGATTCACCCAGCGTACTGGACGCCTGTGTGTCCCAATGTCTGTCCGAGTTATACTTAGATGATGTTTTAACACGTTTCCTAGCATTGCTTCTTATGTATTTGTCACACACTGTTCATCATGGCACATCTATTGGGAACAAACAAGTGATGCTGTTGTGAATGGATGTCTGGGGAAAGAATGAGCAGAGCTGGGTGAGTGTGTGCAGGAGGTGCTGGGGGGAATGAAGACAAGCATTAGAAGTATGAAAACAGACAGTGGAAGAGCTAGCATTGCAGTGTCCTTTCTAAAAACATCTCTCTGCTCCCTGGGTGCTGCTATAATAAGAAACGAGGAGGAGGAAGTAGGCAGGAGAGCAGTGCTGGAGGGGAGCAGGCAGCTATTTTTAGCACCGCTTTGAAACGCCTCACTGAGCAACTGGGGTGGCTTAACATCTTCCATATTCATAAATAAGATTACATGTGTCTGCTGCATGTGTGTGCAGTCGTGACTGTGTTGGAGGGTTAATAAACAGGCTGTGTTATGCTGCCTTGCTGAAGGATTGCAGCCGAGCTCAATATGCCCTTATGAGCATCAGCATCCTACTGTTATGGTGAGAGGGAGGGGAAGGAAGGAGAACAGTTGATGTTGAAAGAAGAAAAAAAGGAGGAGGGAA